CCCTGCCTCCCTAGCACCGGGGTCCCTGTCCCTTTAAGGCTTCCAAAAAGCACTTGCCAAAAAAAAAAACAAAAAACCGCTCCGGTTTCTTTCCACCCGCCGGGAGCCGGGGGGAGGGGCGCTCGGGTCCCACCGGGCCGGGGCTTGTATCTTACCCCCTTTGCAAGGTGCTGGGTTCTTGCAGGTGTGGATGTGGTCTGGGTGTTTTCCTGTGTCCTCTGGTCTCTATTTTAGGAAGAGTTTTCTTTGTTATATTTTCATAGCTCTATGTGTTTTTGGGAGGAGATTTCCACTGCTCTACTCACGCCACCATCCTGGCTCCACCCCCCTCTTGTAAATATTTTTACTTAAAATCTTGAGGTCCCACTCTAGAAACTCAGCAACTCTTCTGTGACCAAAGCCTCTCAAAAATAAGTAGCATCATCTTAAATTTTAACAACTTTCAGAAAAAGTTTTAACTTTAGCTTCTAGCCTATGTATATATTCAAAGATACACAGTTTACATACAGCTTTAAAATTGTTTAAATAACAAAAATCATTTAGATTTTTAAGTTTTAAGGCAAATACTATGTCTCCCTAAAAGGCAAACAGAAAAAAAGGTACAATATAGTAAGTATTATCCAGAAAGAGTAAAGGTGAAACTTAGCAGGTAAGTGTAAGTCGATGGAGTAATCAAAGCTATGGTAAAGGCAGGAATTTTTAAAATACAGAGATTATTTAACTTTCTGCATACTGGAAGCAATCCATTTTGGAGAAAAAAAATGGTATGCAAAAACAAAATGCCATTATACTTCATAAAATCAGCAAATGTTTTATTCTTAGGAGATATAGAAGAAATGACTTTTTAAAGTCATAAAGTAATAGGTTATTGAAAAGTTTTTTTAGGTATTAGATGGAGGATGTCAGGAAGACCAAACTCCATGTTTTCTTACAGTTAGTCCCTAGGCATCATTTGATAAATGACAAAATCCTGGGATAGGCAGATCACACCTCTGACAGAGCTTGAGAACTTTCAAACACTCCATGACAGGTTCAGGTGTCTCCTTCACCACTCTTTGACCTCTCAGAATGACCTGATGATTTTTTCCTCCTTCAAACTATGCAATCTTCAACAACAACAAAATAAATCCTCCACAACTCACAGTGACTAACAGGAATGTTTCTGCCTCTAGGGTATGCTTGGTTAGAAGGACAAGAAAGAACCACCATTCAAAATAAACTTTTTCATCATTAGAAAGAATCTACCAGACCAACAATTAATCAGCACAGTCAGGTTAAGTTGCAAGTTACCTCACAGTTGTTGGTTTATGTGTACAATTCAATTTAGTACAGTTTTAAGTTAGCTGATAGTAAGGTCTAGAGCCTATCTAAAAAGTTTATTTATAAGCAAGGACCATTACACTAGGTATACTGCTTAAGCGATATTGCTTTTTTACTATTACTTACATAAACATTACTAACACATTGCATTATGCAAACATACTACAAAAATAAATACAATTCCTTCTTGTATTTCCAACAATTTTCTTTGAATTTGTAGTCACCAAAGTGATCTGTCTCTAGATTTTCTTTTTCTCACTTTTACCAAACCAAAGGCCTGACTTAAAATCCAGATCAAGTGATCAGAGCATGGAGTGAATAACCAGTAAAAGTGCTGAGGGACTGGAGGCCCAGCAATTCCGCTACTGACAAAAGTCAACATCAAGTCTCAAAAAGTCTTCTCCTTATTTCAGAAATCAATTTACTTTTCTTAATCTCCAGCACCACTATCCAACTACCCTAAATCAAAGTCTCATCAACCATCACCTGAACTCTTCCAAGAAAGCTCCTAACTGGTCTCTCTTCCTCCAGTGTAACTCCATCTCAATCCCATCCTCCAAGTCTCCAAAAACAACCACACAAAATAAAAACAACTCTAGTACTCCTCTCCTTAGAAGTAATGACTCCTCACTGCCTGCAGAATAAAATCCAAACTTTTTGATGCAGTGTTTAAGGCCTTCCACCATTGTACGCCAACCTATTCTTCCCTAGTTCATTTTCTCACCTCTCCTTGCTTCAGACTTTCTTCTTGAACAACAAATTGCTTGTACTTTCCTACACTCAATGAAAGGCTTCTCATTTCCATGACTGTGCATTATGATTCCTATACCTGGAAGAACAGAGTATCTTTTTTGTCCCTCACATCTACGACCTACCCTCTTCCCATACTTTCAATTGGCTAAGTTTTAATCACCCTTTAAGGCTCAACTTAATCATTTTCATCTCCAGAAAGTATCCCCTAAACTCCCTCCTATTCTCAGCTTCTTGCATATACTGACTACCACTGAATTATTACATTATAATTACGTCAAAGTCGTTTCTCTCTTACTGGGGAGTTCTTAAGGGAACTAGTTATTATTAATTCATGTAACTCCCAGAATCTAACACAGTACCTGGCAACATGGCAGACACTCAATGAAATGACTGAAATAAACGATTTCACACTTCTCATCCTTACTCTCTACCTTATTACAAGGGTGGTTCTCCCAGTTCGGGTACAAAAAAGTTAGGCAGACTGAAAAACACATCTAATAAATGCCCAAAGAGAGGTCTGCTACCAGAAATTAAACAAAGCTTAACAAAAAAAAAAACAAAGGATAAGCTACTTTTCTAGAATGTTTATTATTTACCCCTGTAGTATCAAAAGCCATCTAATGTTGAGATGATTCAGAGAATCATCAGAATTGGTGTATTGTAGCTTGACTGTCAAGCTACAAAAAAGAAAGGTCAACAGTCATTTTTTACAAGATACCATTCTTGCTTCTTCTGGTTCAGAGAAAAGACACACAAAATCACCTCTAAACAAAGCAAAGAGGATTGGTTATCATTTACTCAAACTCTTATGTTATTGCCATGTGTCTTACCATTTCTACTTCAAAAAATGATTTAAAGGAGTTTACAATAAAAACAAGGAAACCAGAAACCATTGTTTAAAACAAGGATTAAAAGAGGCACTGATCATCCTAAACCAAATAAATATGAAATTACTTAGATCTGCATTTATGAAACCCTTAAAGGCTTTACATGCCACAGTACATAATGTAATCTAAAAAAAATCCTTGCTATTAAGTATATTAAAACCATGTGAATATTGACACAAATGCATATAATAAACAAGCCTCTAAAGAAAAAATGTAATTCCACTGAATTTCATCTATAATTCTATATAGATATGGACAGATAGATAGCTTTATGAGCTGTGGATACCTAAGCACATCTAAGTTCCCTTCACCCCAGAGGTCCCCTTCCAATCAGCTGAAGCTTAACCTTCTAAAACTACATTTTCTCCTCCCTCTTATGTGAAAGCACTGTCAGCATAGTTTGTGGGTTATGTTCAAAGACATCAAATGCCCTCCTGTAAGTTCTCAAGAATCCAGATTTGCACAATAGTAAATTGAATTTCACACCAGAATAACCCAGCATGCTTAGTAAATTAATCTTAAATTATATAATCTATTTTAAATTATCTTATTTTGAACAAAAATAGACTTTGTAATATAATTTGTAATGCAAAGTTAAATTCTTACACTGCTTTTAAATGTACTTTCCATACAAAACTTTAGTTTCTGAAATGTGTTGACAGTATCCTCTTTTTGATCAATTATACCTATCAACTCTTGAATTATTTGATTCTACATAATTATTTTCTTGAGAAAGAAGAAAAATAGCAATGCTTAGTAAATATATTTTAAGATAACTAAAATATAAATGTGATGCAGTTTTAGAATTCCTTCAAATTTTAAGACTAAGCAAAAATGCCAGCAGCAAAACACTTTGCATTGTACTGACCTTACCTTTGTTTAAAAAATAACATGTTTTACATAAACAAAGGAAAGAGAAGTAACATAGCATACTGGGTAAGCAGACCCTGGAATCACACTGTCTGGCTTTGAATCCTAGCTACTCTACCTTCCAGCTGTGACCCTGAGCAAGTTATTTACATCTCTGTAAAAATAAAAAATAACATATATTACAAAGCTGTTGAGATTTAAATGAGTTAATATATGTAAATCACTTAAAAGAGTACACAGTAAGTGTTCTATAAACATGAATATATATGAAGTAAATAAAAGAGCTACCAAACTAACTTGGTGATTTTCACTTTAATTTAGAAGGAAGATTACAGGGTACTCAATTTCTGATTTACATAGTTTAATATAACTGAATTTTTACAACTAGCACCTACTATTTGAATAACTAGAAAAAATAAAGGAAACAATTAGGAATTATCTAAAGAATAGCTGTAGTCCTCTGCGAAGTACATTATTTTGGTTACTTCTTTAAATATTGGATAATAGATATAAGATCTTGAATTATTTATATCTGATCATATTTTAAAATATTTAGCTCTTTAGAAGAATAAATATAAGTTAAAATAAGAAGATTAATGCCAGAGAAGGTCAGGAAAAATATTAAGTTTAAGTTTAGAGGGCTAAATTCATTTCACCCCTATGTATATTTGCAGTTTTATATTTAGAACTGTATCAATGTCAAATTCATCTACAAACATTTGGAATAATTATCTGATCAAAGGTACAATGTGTTGACAGTATCCTCCTTTTGATCAAATGGGACATGGAAAGTGCAGGGCAGAATCCCAGTTCTGCCACTTACCAACCACAGGATCTTTGCTCAGTTTACCTAACCTCTCTGACTCATGTTTTCTCAGCCAAAAAATGAGAATAATACTTACTGTATTATTTTGCTAGAGCTGCCATAACAAAATACCACAGACTCAGTGGTGGCTTAAACAACAAAAATCTATTTTCTCACAGTTCTGGAGACTAATAGTCCAAGAGCAAGGAGCCAGCAGGTTTGGTTACTTCTGAGACCTCGCTCCTTGGCTTGCAGATGGCCACCTACTCACGAAATCCTCACACAGTTATCCCTTGTTGTGTGTTACCTGTGTCCTGATCTCCTCTTCTTATAAGGACAGCAAATCATACTAGATTAGGGCTTACCTGCATGATCTCATTTTTCTTCAGTTACCTCTGTAAAAGCCCTATCTCCAAATACAGTCTCATTCTGAGAGTGAGGATAAGAGTTTCAACTTGTGAATTTGGGAGAGAACACAATGTAGGCATTTACTTTTTAGAGTGACTGTAAGATTAGGAAAATATAAATAACTTGTCTATGTTCTAATACCTCTGTTACAGATTAGTAAAGCTGGTGTAATTTGGGTGGCTATTACCTTTTCCTACCTATATAAACTGGTAGAAACATGCATATATTCCAAATGCTGATGTGACAAGAAAGGGTCAAGTTTTAATTCTCAGATCAGTACTATTTAAATTCAACTACCTGAAGTTATCTTTCATTTCATTAAAGGACATCTAAGAAGACAAATAGAAAATAAATATCCTTACTAACAGAAAATACTTAAACCTACCTAAACTTTAAGTCACCACATATACAACATAATGGGACTTTAGAAACTTTCTCAAACACTTACTTTGCAGGTGAGAAAGGTAAAATGACTTGTCCAAGGCCACACACAGAGTTGGTTCCTGGCAGAGCAAGTGCTGTTTCGGAGCTGTCATGCCAGTGGGTTTCAGCCCCAGACAAGTTCACGGTGGGTTCAATGAGACCAAAGAAATGACAATGGAACGTTCTTGGGGTGAAAGGGTTTATGCCCAACTTTATTCCCATGGGGGCAGGTCAATCACTAGAATCCCGTCGACACAGAGCAATTCTGTGTGCAGTAAGCCAGCCTCTGCCTCTGGGCATCTCTGCCCATGCAGTCATCTCAGTCTCTGTCCTCGGCACTGTCACCACTCCAGTCTTTGCTCTTCTGCAGCCATGCATCCTTGCAGCTGTGCAGCAGCCATGCCACCGTGTTGTGCAGAGCACTTTATATAGAGTCAATAACAATGTATTGCCCAGATGTGTGTAGTGACTGAGCTGACCAGGAAAAGGTGATGATCCTGGTCACAGGAACCTTCACTTTACCTACAATAGCTCACTACTGTTCTTTGCCCTGTTTCCATTGCCTCCTGTGGTTTTCCCAAGATCACAGGTTTATCTACTTTAAAAATAACACTTCATGTAGGAAGAGTTTCACATGTAGCTGCCTTCCTAATTGGCTTATTTAAACAACACCCTATTTAAGCTAAAACCGATACTTTAAAATCTGTGATCTAATTTTGCAAAATATTTTTTAAGTCCTCATGAGTACCTGCAGACAAGAATCTCACACTTCAAATAATATACATTTTCCTAGTTGAATGTGGAGAAAATAGATGTTTCTATGGCCAAGAACCTCACCTGACCCTAAAGTTCTTGATGATGTAATTGGCCTCCTGCTAGGCTAATGTTTTCACACCTGTTAGCAATGGGCCATTATTGACTGAGTCACTAGACAAAGAGCTCCGCCTACTGGAGAGATGAAGGAGGATTACAGACCTGCAGACTACCTTTGGTTTCACAGTCCCCTGTCTTCCAGATGCAGTTTTGGATTATGATCGTGTGGGGAGGCAATTCCCCGAGTTCTACCCTTAACATACTGTGTGACTGCAGGCAAGTCACCAGCTTTGTCTGACTCCACCCCCACCCTCGGCTTCCCTGCTGCCCATGCTGGCGGTGCTGGAGATCATGGAATAGATGATGCTGAACACAGCCACAGTAGGGAAGAGGTTCTGGAAGTAGTGGAAGGCACGGCCAAAGTACCAGGTGTTGTGGCTGGTATAGATGAAGCTGAGGCAGAAGAAGGCAGCCACTCTGAGGTTGGCCAGGGCAAGGTGATGTTGAAGTAGCTGGTGACCATGTGCATTCTCTGATGGGCAAGGATGATTCAGATGAGTGCAGCAAAGCCTGTCGTGGCCCCCAGCATCAGGACCAGGCAGGCTGTGGCCCCCAGCGCCAGCAGCCAAGCAGGCCTGGAGAAGGTCGTGATGGCCATGACATTGCTCTCAAGGCGAGATGTCAGTGTCAGTCCCAGCAGCACAGGTCCCCATGGCTGCCCGTAGGTCTGGGTCAAGGGGCCTGGCTCCTCGGCTCCTCCTGGGCCCTGGTATCCTGTCCCGATATGCTATAGAAGAGAAATTCTCTTTGGTGCATGATTACGTGGGGGAGGGAGGAATAGGTGCGGAGCTCAGCACATCAGGGCAGCTGGAGAGTACTTCTAATCTCAAGCAAAGATGAGTTAGACTGAGTAGAAAGTGGGGCCAGAGCCATTGGCATGTCAGATTCCATGTTCTGGTCTGACTTTTGAAGTATTCTGGAAATCTCGAATACAAGACCCAGTTTCCGAGCAGGAAATATCCTTGTAAACCATCTGTCAACCCCTCCACTGCAGAAATGGGAGAACAGATTCCAAAAAGGGACGCAGTCAGCCCAGGTCAATCAGCAAGCTTGTGACAAGCCAGGACACATACTCAGGTCCCTCCTGATGCTACTCAGGAAACGTTTTGGATCCGACAAGCACACAGAAGCAGTCTGAGATCTCACGGGTCGACCGTGCAGCAAGCTGTCCTGCAAGCTTTAGGGGTTGGCTGGGCTGGGGCCCAGACTGTGCTCACGGGTCTGCCAGCTGCCAGCCCTGGGAGGTGCTGCCATCCCGAGCGGGCAGGTGAGGGCCTCGGTCAAGTGGCTGCCTGCTTCTGAGTGGGGGCTTGGCTCCTGCCACTTGCCCCATCCCCTGCTTGAACAGCCTGGACTTGTCTCTTGAGGAAAGATTTATGACCACCTGCCCAGGCAGGAAGAGACCCAGAAGGACCGGGGGTGGAGGGTTGCTACATGGAGGGCACGGTCCATGGCAGGTTCAACGTTCATCCTGGGCCAGAAGCTGCATCTGAAAAGTGATTAGGAGCACACACTTGGGAGCCAGACTGGGTTTGAGTCCACTTGATGCCTCCTGGCAAGTCTCTTGTGGATAAAATGAAAGTTCCTGTGGCCAGGATTTTCACCCGGCCCTGGTTGGCTAGCTCACTACACATGTGTGGGCAATGTGTCGTTATTGACTCTATATAAAGAGCTCCACCCAGTGCTCTGGGTGACACAGTGGCACGGCTGCAGGAGAGCAGAGCAGAGGCTGGAGTGGTGGCAGCACTGAGGACAGAGGCCCAGAGGATGGCTAAGCCAGCTGAGAGGCCCAGAGGCACAGACCGGCTTGCTGCATGCAGACTTGCTCTGAGGGGACGGGATTCTAGTGATTGACCTGCTACCGCGGGAATAAAGTTGGGTGTAAGTAACCCTTTCACCCAGAGAACATTTTACTGTCATTTTTTTTGGTCACATTGAATCCATAGCAAACTTGCCCAGGCAGGAAACCCATTGGTAAGACATCTCTTAACTTTTCTGAACTTTGGTTTCCTCATCTGAAGAAAATTGGGAAGATAAGGTATACATCTCACAGTATATTTGTGAGTTTTAAATGAGATAATGTATGTGAAGTTGATTTCACACAAGGGCTGGTACACAAATTGAGAGAGGGGATTGTAGCACCATGGGAGGCCCCCAGGGAGCTCAGAGCCCTGCAGGAGGGAGAAGACGTAACTCAGAGCATTTCTAACAAGTCTCTGGTGTGGCTGATGCTGCTGGTCCAGAGACCTCACTTTGAGAACCGCTCTCTTAAGACGAGGACAGGGCTCACTGCCTCTTCTGTGGGCCCCAGACATGCCTGAGTTTGAAGCACTGAGGGGCCAGTCTGGTTTGTCCACAGGAGTCTGTGGTCATCGGCATGTGCACGCTTGCTGGCCAGCAGGTCAAAAGGGTTACTCAGCACCCTTGCTGCTCTGGGCTGAATGGCTGAGTCCATTGCTAGATAATTGTCTTGAAGGTTAGTCCTGTTAAAGGAGAAAAAAATTATAAATTCCTTTTTCTCCTGTGGACCCATGAAGACTCCAGTTTGCTCGCTGAGGTTTGTGGGAAGCCCCCTCTGCCCAGAAGTGGAGGGGGCAAGACTGCGCATTGGTTCGTCCGGATGGGCTGGCTGATGGCACAGGTTGGGTACCCCCGGCAAGCAACTCTGATTCAGACTTTCAGGTGCAGGATGTTTATTAAGGAGTGCTCTGGGACCAGCACCTGGGGAAGGAAGGGAACGGAAGCAGGAGTGGGTGGCAGAGGAAGTTGAGCTGTGACATGTTAGCAGCCTTGGACAACACCACGGGTTGGGCGGCTCTGCACTGGAATGGCCCTTTAGAGTTATCCTGTGCTGGGCAACTTCCACGTTGATCACTGGATGCAGGCTACCCCAAGAAGAGGCATGACCTTGGACTAGGTACCTCTCTGCGGCTGAGACAATGGCTGAAGGGTGCAGAGGAACACTTCTGCCGGCAGCACTCCAGCAGCTGGAAGGGGCTCTTGGACACACAGGGCAGCGTCTGCTGAGGTGAACAGCAGCTTCCCCGGCTACATGGGCTGGCTGTGCACGAATGCTCCTCCTAATCTGTGGTCTCTTGGTCCCTAGGCTGGTGGCTTGAACGCCAGAATTGGGAAAGGAATTGTTTTTCAGGGAGTTTGGAGGAAGAGAAGGCAGCAACAGCTCCAGGGACGCAGGAAGAGGGTGGGAGAGAAAGGGGGCTTCAGGAGGCACTGTGGACTGGGTGCCCCTTAAATAGGACCTGAGAGCAGCCTTTTGAGGTTGTTTGACTGGGTCTCTGGCCTAGAGACTGTGCTGGCCTTGGGCCACTTGGTCATGGCTTCAATGGGTCACATGCAGCATAGTGGGACATTCGTGCTGGGAAGTGCTGTGGTTCACGTAGTCACCACAAGGTTCACCTGGACTGGGCAACACACGGGGACAAGGACGACACAGTGAGCATTTAATTCTCCTAAATGAATCTGGTTTGAAGGCTCATACTTCATTCTGAGACTATCTCCGCCCTGCTTTTTGGGCTAAAATGTCCTTTCTTTCATGGAATGATGATGATGGTAGGGGGTAGCATAGTTTTCCTTTTTCTCTAAAATTCCTTACTCTCTGGAATAAAAAGTTGGTGACCCCTTGTGGTCCCCTCAGTTAGATTTTTGGTGGGTTTTTTTGGTCCATGAAATTCAAAGACTCAGGAGCTCCATGTAGTTCCTCACTCGGAGAAGAGGCTGGGAGCCCCAGGAGGGGAAGGCTTCCCAGGCCCCCTTGCCGGTGAGGCGGGCGCACAGCCCTGCTCACTCCCTCTGTCCTGCATGGCCTTTACTGGCCTGTCTCCTCTCTGTCTAGGCCCCTTAAGACCACCTTCCTGGTACCTCCCTCTCACATGGATGGGGGCGCTCCTCAGGGCCTGGATTGTGCCTTGTTTATGTCCAATATCTAGGAGAGTGGCCAACATATCACAGATGCCCTAGAAATGTTGGCTGAATGAAAATGATGAACAAAATTTAAAACATGACTCATGGATGAGGGATGGGGCATCTTATGTATATATCGTCTACCTGTCCATTTCTATATCTGTGTCTAATGAGTATAGGTATCATTATAAAGGCCTGAAACTAATAGAACTAGCCCCAATGGGGGTGTTTTAGGCAACTCTGGTGGGCAGGGCAGTATAATGCTTGGCATCTTGGCACATAGTAGGTGCTCAATAAATGTCAGGTGAATACATTAACAACAGACACTGAATAAAGCTGAAAATGTCACCCTTTCAGGGTTGAAGGAAATAGAATTCTTATTTTCATAGGACCTAAAGCTTAAACTAGAAGAATATGTCTCTGCAGGTCACACAGGGCTGTTGGAGGACATCGGGGTCTCTAACATATAAAAAATAATAATAAATTCCAGGATTTATTCCTCATGGGTAGCCTCCCTTTGTCCATAAACCAGAGGTCCCAGGTTGTCCCCTTTAGGAGGTGAGCACCGTGCCCCCTGATCCCTGGCCTGAACATCGGTGGCCCTGAGCCTGAGACTTCAGCTGGGAGAGGGAGAGCTGGTCTCCACCGAGAGCTTGGGCTGTGGCTGACACCTTTTTATGCACCATGAGCATGCTGGGTACTGCCTCTCCCTGAAAGCCTGAAGTTTATCTAGCTGAGGAAGAGAGTCCGCAGGTGTTTACATCTGCTCTGTCCTGGTGTGCACAGGACTCAAGGCTTTGAATACAGAACGGGTTCATTTCTCAGCATCAGGCTGCAGCAACATCTGTCCATCTATGGGAGGTGGAGGAGGAAGTAGGTGAGGTCTATCCTAGAAGGGGTACCCTAACACCTGCCCACTGGTTGGGTGACTGGGGGTCATCCCAGTGGCAGCCTGAGGTTTGCAGATAAAGGGGACTTGGTGTCTTCACAAGGTGCTGGAAAATGTGGCAATGGGTGCTGTGGCAGGGATGTGGTGAGGACAGGTTGACAAAAGGTAGGCACCTCTCTGGGAGGATAGAGCACCCCCTACAGGGCTCCAATGATCAGCCCAGAGTCAGGAGACAGGGCCATGTCTCTATCTTTATGAAGCCCCCAGCCAAGTTGGGGAGCCAGGTCCCAGTGTAGCAGAGAGAACTCACCATACTCGTCAAATGGGACGCCATGAACTTCGAGCTTCAGAGGAGAGAGAGAAGCCTTTGGAGGTGTGGGGAGTGAGGGGTGCTGCTAGAGTGGCCCCTGAAAGTAACAGAGGAGGGGACATGGGGGTGAGCTCCAATCCTGACAGAGAGGTCAGACAAGCTTGGCTGGAGCTGAGGGTTCCTGCAGGAAAGGAGTGGGAGATGTGGCAAGTATAAATGTCAGTTCACAAACCCAGAGGTGCAAGAAAGCTCCTTTCCTTATTCTCTAAAAATTAACTTAATCTTGACTCCAAGTCCCCATCTTGTTGTGCTGGCAGGGAAATCCTGTTTCTCCTGGGGCCCCACTGGCCCCCACGCCCACCCTGGGCTGCCTAGAGTGCTAAGGCGTCCATGGCTGGGCATTTTTTGGTCACTGGGTGTTAATCCACACAGGTAGCTTTGCAGATGCCTCTTCACCCTGTTCTGCAGGGTCCTCCAAGTCAGGAAACTGTTATTTCTAAGACATGCTGGGGCCCAGCTGGGGATTGGGTCCT